GTGAGGAAGACGAAAATTGCGTTCGCAGCCGTTTCTCGCGTTTGGGTGGACGGATATGTCTGGGACTTGGTATACGTTTTGCTGTTGGGCTGTAGATGGTGCACGTTGTTTTGGTTTTTTAGTATGTGTGTTTTAATGCGTGAAAATGATGCATTTAGACCGCCGATGGACACCCCTTGTGTGTGAAAATGGTTTTGTCTTTTGGTTTTCGGCGTGTATAAAGTGTCGTAGGTTGCGTCCACATCTGGTGAGAGGGGGTTTCAGGTATCGCGCGGGTCGCAGCCAGCCAACTTCCGGGTGGGCCAATGGGTCAGGGGTCAACGCCCGCTCTCCGCTCAACCGTCGGCACAGAGACGAGCGGCCGCACCGCCCAAGTTCGTCGCTGCCGTAAGGCGGGAACGCGCCGTAGAGCTGGCCGCGAACCCTCGGGAGCCTGAGCGCAGAACTCCCGGCCACACCTGACCGTTGCTTCCCTTCAACGCCCGAGCCGTCCCCGTCGGGAACGGTCCCGCACTCTCACGACCGACGCGCCCGGGCGGCCGGATCTCTGACCGCCGAGTCCCTGTGTTTTCGAACTTCGGTGGGGATTTCCGTGTTGTTTTCTGATTTTCATCATCCACTAAGATAAACTTGAAGACCGAGGCTTAAACTTGGTGCCCCTGAATCCTCAAACACTCACAAAAACCCAGGTTTTGGGCCTATCAAGGAGGCTAGTATTTCGGTGTGTATATAAAATCTATTTGTCTTTTATATACACACCCGGTGTGTATATAGCCACGGCGTTAATGAACAATACTGATTTCTTTGTTATCGACTGATCACTTATGTTATGTTCAGTTGAGAACAAAAAGTGTGTGTGTCTAACACCTAATCTAACACAAAATGTCTGGAAACTTCACTCTGATTCTATAAACAAAAGAATAATCATTACAAATGGGGTGTTATCAATTTAAAGTTAAAGGACAATAGACAACGATATGAGAAACAGTAAATGGTCATTATTAAAAAAACAAAACAAGGAAGATAAAAACAGACATGGCCGATGAAAATTTCAGTGCTCTGATGTACTATAAATATTACCTTGCTGCTTGTCCAATTTAAAAAGTTTTCTGAATACTGACCGAGAAGTCAGACGAATTAACTGACCGAGAAGACAGACGAATTCGTCTTGACTTCTCGGTCGTTGACCTTTTGTGAACGTGCTTTCTGTTATCAATACAAACAGCCCTATCTGCACGTTATACGAGATGATTGTATTTCATCGGCAGATAGACGTTACAGATTCGTGGCGGTTCTGCGGACAAAAAGTCGCACCCGTTGAGGTACTCGTATTTTAGATCTGGAACAGGTGTAAAATGATCAGAGGAACATTTTCGAAACGGGACGGCATTATGCCGGCTACATATAAGCGCCAAATACAGCTCCAAACTTGACTACCCTAACCCTATTTTTTACACAAAACATTGTAGTAACATACATGACCAACCTGTCTGTAAAACTGAGCCTCTAAGTGTCTACAACCGGTGCAAAAGAGAGAAAATCACAGACGACACGGCCACTTGCCAGTCGCGGCAGCCATTTTTGAGCGCGCGGGCTGGCGGGAAGGTGCTTAGCCTAGGTGTCAGAACCCGCCAGAAGTGATAATTATTTCGGCCGGGGG